AGTCAAGGCTATGCAATCCAAAGCCATAGCATTGAACAAAACAAAATGTAGTCATTAAGAATTGGGATTGGATTTCATTCACATGGTAATGTGTAATTTGAATATTTTTATTGAATATTACAAATAATTGTGGTTTGAAAAAAGAGTATTGAATGTTAAGAATGCCATGAATAATTGCAAACTATTTAATTAATGGTCCAATCAATTACAGTATTCTATGAATACCCAATAATGGTACTTAATACCAGTTATCAGTTTCAGAGGCAGTTTTTATACCCTCAGCCATATGGCTACAGAGGGTATATATCATTTGATACGGTCAAAACGTGCCTAGTCGAAATGACAGTTTTAGACCCTAGGTCTCTTTGGACCCAATCCGTTTCAGAACATTTGGAATCGATCTAGCGATGTCCGTCCGTCTGTCTGTCTGTCTGGCTGGTGCGCACGATAACTCTCGAAGGGAGTATCCGATTTGGTCCAAACTTGGTACATCGCAATATTTTTGTCAAACTTAGATCGAGTTCGGAGTTGGGCAATATCGGTCCACTCCTTCTGGTACCTCCCACACAAAATGTCAAAATTTTCAAAGAAAATAATTTATTGCACAGAAAGAGAAAGGATAATCCGATTTTCCTTGAACTTTGCGAATCCTAATATTTTCATCAGTTCTAGTTCAGGTGCGAAAATGTACAATATCGGTCCACTCCATCAGACACCTCCCCCAAAAATTTTGAATAATTATAACTTTTATAAAATGTGATGTAATGTGATCCGATAGTCTTCAAATTTCACATATCTCAATATTTTTATAAACCCAAAATCTGGTGTTAACATGAAATGTATCGGTCCACTCCTTCTGGTACCTCCCCCACAAAGTGTCGAAATTTTGAATACCCATGAAGCTCATAAAATGCCAAATTAAGATCCGATTCCATTTAGACTTGGCACATCTCAATATTTCTATCAACACAAGATCTGTTATAAATGTGGTATAGATCGAACCATTTCTTCTGGTACCTCCCCTATGCATAGGGTTCAAGATTTTGAAAAACAAAACGCACAAATAAAGCTAAATAAGCATCCAACTCTTTTCAAATTTCACACACACAAATATTTTTGCTAACACAAAATCTGTTGGGAAGTTTATACAAAGGGTCACAATTTTCAATAATTTTATCTGTCATAACTTTCGAAACAATTTAGCAATTCTCTACTATTTGCTATGCTCAAATATTTCTCTCAATAAGAAGCCAGATATGAATATGAAATGTATCGGAAATTATGATTTCGCATACAATTGGACATAAATTACTTTTCTTGTAATTTAGCCCCATATTTCGCTCAATATCAGATGAAGTATAAAAATGGATTATTTCGGTACACTCTATATGGTACATCACACACTTTTGAACATTTTCTAAAAATTATTACATATCTCATATAAAGTAAGGGGTGAGTCGATATAATTCATACCAGGAACGTTGGAATATTTATATCATATTTTTTGAGTCTGATACGAAATGGACAATATTGGCCCATTCCTTCGACACCGGCACGTTTGAATAATTGTAACACTAGTTAAATATATTTCGATTATTTAATCGAACATAGGCTGAGGGTATATATCTGTCGTCAATACCGACTGATACTTTTTAACTTGTTTGATATTAGCTTAAATCGTCGATTTTGACCTGACTGCAAATAAAAGATAGCTCTGATCACCATTTTAGCTGGAAAATGGTTAAATTCACTAAGAATTTAATGCCGATCTTATCCAGGAGTGACAAATGGAATGATAATCTCAATATGGCCTTCATGATAAAGGGAATACAATTCTTGGTAGAGGGTATATAAATTACATGCTCTTGTTAAAAATATTCCAAAAAAACATTTTGCAACAAAAAATCTCCAAAAAAATATTAACCATTATCAGCTATGAAAAGAACTACAGCTCTTCTTCAGGAAGGTCTTAGAGAAACCCATTTGGTATTCTTTGTAAATACGGTTCTCTTTGATATCTGTATGAGAATAACATTTGGTGTGGAAAAGGAACATTTATTCCCTATGAAAGATGAGAGATAAGATATTTTTGTTATTAACACAAAGACTCCGCCAAAAATCCTGCCTCCTCAAATTTCCTAAGTAGGTCCAGGCCATAGCCTCCATACATCGGTACATTCCTATATTCGGTATTTTGATGATTTTACCCACATTATTCACTCGGAAAAGTCTCGTATTTGAATATTGTAGTGGCCTGTGACAATATGACCAAGTCGTATAGGGCCCAATATAACGGTGACTCCCTATATTCGGTATTTTGTGATTTTAGCAGTACTTTTCATAGTTCTGCCCGGCCGAATGTATTCCCTTTTCATTTGTTAATTTGACAATTTACAAAACATTAGAAGAAATTATTTTAAAAACATCATAGCCAGGATGATTTTTGTAAAAATGACACGTCTACGATTGCTCATAACTACACCTTGAATCTATTTACATCATAAACCAATATATAGGCTGGTAAAGCATATCCGACAGGTTCATAATCGGAGCTCACACATGAAATAATCATTCATGCGGAAACATGCACTTTGAAGACACTTGCACTGGTGATCAAACTGCAGCTTTATAAGCGAACATCACTAATTTTTATACCCTCCACCTTGGAAAGAAGAGAATATTAAATTTGTCATTCTCTTTGTAATACCTCTAAATAAATATCGGTCAACGTATTTATTTGGTATTGAGAGTTTGCACCTCCTGTGACAGAATATTGTCTGTACAGGTCCACGTTTTCCTGGTAGCAAGTCAAAAACTGTCAAACAATCGGCATTTGTAGTATAGCATATCGGCCAGCTACCACCAACAACAATAACACATATATCTTGGAAATAATGAAAAAGAAGAGGAAGAACAGGTCCATGTTTTCCTGCTGCACTTTTATAACAGTTCCTCCTGATGTTCAGTATTTTGATCATTTCAGCCTTATTTTTCAACGAAATTGTTCTAAATTTGATATTAAGAGTTCGTAGAAGATTCTACCTCTGGCGTCTGAACATAGTGTGTATAGGTCCACGTTTTACTATAACACTCATAAACCGGTACCTTCGGATATTCTTTATTTTGACGATTTAAGCCAAATTTTCTAACGAATTTGTCCAAATTTTGTATTTGTAGGTCATAACCGCTTCTACAACTGTTGCCAAAGCATTGACCACATCGAACCAAGATTTCGGTTTAACTCTAGTTTAATAAAATCTATCTTATTTATTTTTTAATTTTCTAGAGGCAGGTATTCGTACCCCAATTCCGGGAAAGTATTTTTTTCTGATCTGATATCTAAGACATGGGTTATATCCGGATCCACTAAACTGATATGGTCAATATAGGTATCATTTTAAAGCTCAAATACTATTCGTATTCTGATTTCGGGAAAATATTTTTTCTTAGGAGACGGACCCGGCTGATCTGATATTTAAGACCCGGTTTAGATCCTTTAGATCGTGCCCTGATTCCGAGAAAGTTTTTTTTTTCGGGAGCCGGAAGCCCTGATATTTGAGACCCGGATCCACTAAACTGATGTAGGCATCATTTAAAAGCTAAAATACCTTTCCAACAATGATCACATGATGGGGTTGTTCAAAACGTTATTCGGGGAATGTTTAAATATTATCGATTTTTGGACCCATATTTAAAAAATCCCTCAAAAGACATATCCGCCATATTACAGTTTACACTATAACATTTCCAAAATGCTACAATGTTGTTGTTATTATCTTTCTTGGATCCAGAGATATGAGTCTTTGAACCCGGATGACCCAGTTCTGTTCTGTTTGATTTTTAATATTATCTATTTATATATCTATTTTGGTAAATATATCTATTTTGGTTCGAGACTATTGAGTCAAATATCCCTAGCCCAAGCAAAAAATACTTTCCTGGAATCTGGATGCAAATACCTAGCCGTGGACAAACATTAAAAAAATCGAGGATTTTTGCTAAATTGGAGTTGTTTCAAGATTTCTATATACTTGGCCCACCGACCCCATAAGAAGTAAACTCTATTGAATCGCACTGCAGATAATAGTGTGATGCATTGGTATCCAGATTATTTTATTCAAAAATGTTAATTACCTTATGATGGATGGTATCGAAATTTCGGCCCGGCCGAACATAATGTTTTTTACTTGTATTGTTTGTTGTTGCTTGGAACATATCATGTATTTTTCACTACAATTTTCTTAGCTTTGAGTTCAAAAACCTAGTAGAAGAAACTCCAATCCTCTGAATAGCTGCCCTTTTCGCTTTGTTTGTAAAACATTTGGTATTTCTTCAACACTTTATAGGGTGTTTTTAATTCGTTGTTACTCCTTTTTAAAGTCATTTTATGATCTTGCCATACTTGTTGCATTGTAGCTACAACATTTTAAATATCAACTGGAGTTGTTGTATTCGTTGAATTTACACAGAAATTACACTCACTGAACACTCTCACTCACTACGTGGTAATTGTATTCAACAATTGTATTTATTTTTTTGTTCTCTTTAATTATAGTCGATCTCTCTCTCCCTTTTTCGCACTCATGCATTTTAATTGAAATTGAACTCTGTTTTGTTAATTGAAATCAATTGATACTCATTCTCTTGCTCTCTCATGGAATCACACAGACACAGTAACTCCGATGTGGATTTTAAACTCTCTCCCTTTGTAGGGAACGAACAGCATAAGGTTTTGTGGGTAGTTATTTTTTTTGTTTTGTATCTCATGGATCTCAGAGAGCACAGTGCGAACAGGTAAAACCACACTCATACACTGGCAGTTAAATTCAAACAGGTAGCAAGCCAAAAACTGCCAAACAATCGGCATTTGTAGTATAGCAATTTTTACACACAAAAACAAGATCGCCTGTCGGCCAGCTACCACCACCAACAACAATAACACAAAAATTAAGTAAAACTTGGAAATAATGAAGAAGAAGAACAAAAAAACTAAAATTTACCACTCGAAAAATTTTGTTGCTTAAATTCTTTAAAGTAGGTATTATTTACAGATTTTCTTTGAAAATGAAAATTCACTTTGAACGAAATTTCACATAATTTTCACCAATTCCAGGAAATTCACAAATACATTATGTAGTTGATAATACTTTTTTTTGCTCTCCAATATTAATTGGCCAATTTCTTGTTTTCAATTTTTTTTATGGTTTTCAATTTTAGGTAGGTGTTTTCCGTATTTCCTCGCACTTAACCGCCTTTTGTTGTTGCTGCGAGCAACATTTTTCGTCAACTGACTTTTTGTTTAAACGACCAAAGTTGAGATCACTCAGTTAAGTCAGCCATCCAGCAGTAGTTTGATGTCCGGCAACGTAACTGTCGTTGTTCTACGGCTCACACAAGAGTGTATGATCATTATGGCATGACGTTGACGGCAATGTCTACGCCAACGCAGATGCTCTGACACTCTCCACACAACAGTTAGTAAATTCACAACTGTGGCTGGGCTCTATTTTGGAGAGAGAGAGAGAGACGTCACTCTTTACGTTGTTGGCGTCTGTGTTGGAGTCGGCGTTGGCGTTGCCGGTCGACGTCTTGGCTGTAATGCCAATTATTATCTATGCGGCGCTTGGCAGAGGGGTAATTTTGCCATTTAATATCTAAAAGTATCATTTTTTTATTACTGTTGTCATTTATCCATCTTTCGGTGTCTTAATTGTATTTTACATTGCTACTAACATATGGGATACTCCATCACTCTTTGTCGATGGGGCCAATTTAAAAATATGGTTGAACTTTATTTGACTTGTAATTTTTGTATTTTTCACAAAACAGGTTATACAAAATGGGTAACTTCTGGCTGAATTAAAAAAAGATTGTCTTCTTACAATGTAAAGTCAATTTCATGGCGCAATGGTGGAAAGGCAGATCAAGAAAGTGACCTATATATGAAATCAACAAGTTTGAAAGTTGCAGACAGTGTTTCGCCTCATATATACAGACGTGTCATAAAAATTGAAACTACATATTCTAACTTTACGCATTATCTAATAGTAGCAAATGCCCGCTAATTCGTCAGCGAAAAGTCCACCTTAAAATTTAAGATTTTTTCTTACAATTCGTGTAAGGCCTTTTTATACCCTCCACTATAGTATAAAGAGTATATTAAGTTTGTCATTCCGTTTCTAGCACATCGAAATATACATTTTATACCCACAAAGTATATATATTATTTATCAGCATAAAATTCTATGTCGATTTAACGATGACCGTTCGTCCGGCTGTGGAAATCACTCTAGCTTCCGAAGGAATTGAAGTAGGTTGATTAAATTTTACCCAAGTGTATATTTAGTCTGCAGGACTTTTGGTACTGAAAATGGTTGATATAGGTCCACGTTTTGGTTTGGTATAATGGTACCTCCCTTTTTCGGCATTTTGGTGATTTAAGCGACATTATTCGCCGGAAATGTTTCAAATTTGGTATTTGAAGTTCGTAATGAATACTACGGCTTATGAAAGAAAATTGTCTGTGCAGGTCCACGTCTTCGTATAGCCCTCATATAACGGTACCTCCCGATATTCGGTACTTTGATGATTTTAGCAACATTATCCACCGGAATTTTTTCAAATTGGGTATTTTAAGTTCGTAACAGATGCTACAGCCTAAGACAGAAAATTTTCAGTGCAAGTCCACGTTTGCATATAGCCCCCATATAACGGTACCTCACTTTATTTGGAATTTTGATGATTTTAGCTACACTATTCCCCGGAATTGTTTCAAATTCGGTGTTTGAAGTTCGTAATGGATACTACAGCCTATGACAGAAAATGTTCAGTGCAAGTCCACGTTTGCATATAGCCCCCATATAACGGTACATCCCTATATTCGGAATTTTGATGATTTTAGCTAAATTATTCACCGAATTTTTTTATTCATGTTTCGCATTTGAATATTGTAATGGTTTATAACAAAATTTGCCTATACAGATTCATGCCGTTGTATAAGCCCTAATATAAAGGATACATTCGGTATTTTTAAGATTTTAACAGAATTTTATTCAGTTTGAAATAATTGTTTAATCAAAACTTTATACATGGTACTAAATTTGCGGACTCTCAGGTATTTCATATTATTCAACTTTTTCCTTTGTAGGAAAGAATAATATTAATATTTTTGCTTTTGCACCAAAAATCTTCAACATCTTTCATTTTGAAGTTAAGATATGGAGGAGGATACTAGTAAAACCATTGCACAATGGGGAAACGTCAAATTTTTCTGCCCAAAACTATTTCAATTTCTCCATATGTAAATGCTAGAAACCGACAGTGACAGCAATATTAAATTTCAGAATTTCAGCTATATCCCCTCACCCAATACCAAATTTAGTAACATTTAAAACGCATGTCCACAACAAACTACATTTCCCTATCCTAGACTCTAACAGGGATCCAAAATTAGTACTTTTAGTACAAATATAGGACACATTTCTAAACAACCGCCAAATCTCAAACACATTAATCTAAATATCAAATTTAAGAATTTTGGGTCTATACCTTTACCCAATACCAAATTTAATCGTTTTAGTACTTCTCGTACAGTTAAAGTAAGAATTTTCCTCAAAAAAAAAATCTGACCTTTATTTCAATGTCAGATCTGTAATTTTCCCCAATACAAAATTTAGTGCCATTTAGTACAATTATAGTATGCATATTAAAAAAATGCTTCCATATCTCAAATTTCGGATACCAACAGAGACCTCAATATCAAATGTCAGAATTCCAGCCCTATCTATTAACCTAATAACAAATTAAGTACTATATAGTACTTCCCATACAATATTTCCAAAACCATCTCCATATCTAAATCCAAAATACCAACAGATACCTCAATATCAACTTTCGGTATTCCAGCCCTATCCATTCTCCAAATAATAAATTTAGTACAAACTAGGGCACATTTCCAAAACCACCTTCATATCCTAAATACAGACACAAACAAATCAAATTTCGGGATTCCAGCTCTCCTCCACCACACAGTACACATTTCCAAAACCCATCCATATATCAATTCCAGATACCAACAGAGACCTCAATATCAAATTTCAGGATTCCAGCCCTATCCCTTCACCCAATTCTATCGTTAGAGCATTCTACCATTTAAATGAGCTGAAAATATCTCAATATTCCATATCTCAATTTGATGCCATTTCCGACATTTTTAGCTTTCATTCAATAAAATTTAAAAAAAGTGTAAAAATGATGGCGTTTGACTTTGTTTCTGTTTTTTATCTCACCCTTTATAATAAGTCCCTTTAAGAAATGGACTCAAAAGACTACATAAATAGACCATGAAAGCTGGCAATTAAATTGATTTTAGATGAAAGCCGATTGTATTTTTTGCAACGTTTAAAAATAAGAATTAAAACATAAAACTAGGTACCAGCATTGCGGTCTGGGAGAGGTAGTATTTTATAATTGCCAAAAAAAACTTTTTACCAATAAATATGCATGCTGGCAGATTTTTTGTTTTTATTAAAATTGTAAACAAAAATAGAAATTTCCCATTTTTCTATTCAAATTAAAAAAAAAAATAAAATATTTTATTAAAATTAACACTGGCGGGATTTGAACTCACAACCTCGGAAATTTATTTATGTTAATCCATAGCAAATGGGTATGCACAAAAGGGAGAATTCAAAAAAAATATTCTGAAAAAGGTTTTCCTTTCAGAAATTTAATATAATCCCTATAAATGTAAAGAAATTAATATTCTCAGAATAATAAAATTGTTAAGAAAAATTTTATTCTCAAATTTAAAAGTGTGGGTTTTCTTCTTCATTTTGGCAAAAAATTTTGATTTTTTGTTTTTATTAAAATTGTAAACAAAAATAGAAATTTCCCATTTTTCTATTCAAAATAAAAAAAAAATATTTTATCAAAATTAACACTTTCGGGATTTGAACTCACAACCTCGGAAATTTATTTATGTTAATCCATAGCAAATGGGTATGCACAAAAGGGAGAATTAAAAAAAAAATATTCTGAAAAAGGTTTTCCTTTCAGAAATTTAATATAATTCCTATAAATGTGAATAAATTAATATTCTCAGAATAAAAAACTTGCTAAGAAAAATTTTATTCTCAAATTTAAAAGTGTGGATTTTCTTTTTCATTTTGGCGAAAAAAAAAAAACAGTCGCAGCCGATCACGCACAAACCCATCACAAAGATTTGCACTGTTCTCCCCAACAGCTTGGTAGCGCTAGATGCAATCCCAACCGAGGCTTAACGCGTCGGGAAAGCGGCCTTTCTTTACCGATGATATGTGCTAACACAAGAGGAGCGTAGCTGCCTCGCAAACGTTGGAGCGAACAACACTTTGCTGTTAGACATTTGGGGATGAAGATGGCCGGCCATCGATAACGCAGAAGGCGTTTGACACCACAATGAAGGGATGTGATCAACCTTTCCAGCTGGGAGAACTGGACCGACCGCTGGCAGCACGGCGCTCAAATGCATTATATATACTAAACGTGAAGAGAAAAATGCATATGTGAATTATTAAAAAAAAAAATTTGTATGAAATATTTAAGAGTGAATTACAGATGAAGAACAAGAAATTGAAAAAAAGATATCCCCATTGGCCAATGGAACTAACTAAATTTTGTGTTGCATCACAATGTAACACAGGCACAATATCAGTTTGGCTCTTGGGGGAATATGTGATGTACATGGAGATATAATGTTCTTCGCTACAATTCCACAGAATAATTTGAAAATTATATTTTGCCTTGCAAAAATAAAGCTGGGAATATATCAAAGACATAAAACTATAAAGACTGAACAAAATGCATATGGGCTTTAATGTTTTTATCAGGTAATAGATGGCAGGCGACATAACAGAAATGCATTGGAAATTTTAGAAAAATATGTTATTCCGATATCGCCGAAAAATGGCAATTACATAGAGACTAATAGCATAACTAGTAACACGTGGAACATAGCCACTCTTGAAGACAAAAAATAATAACAGTATTGAAGTAATATTACAGGGTTACCAATATAGTACAAATTACTCGTAACATATATTGCCATCCTTAGAAAAAAAAATAATTACAAATTGGGCCAAACAATATAATTATACATTTGGAGCTAGCGGCAAATTTTGAAATTTAAATTTTTGCTATAAAAAACTGATCGACATATTTTTGACAAAAATCCAATAGATTATGAAACTAGAGCTAAAAATGGAAGACTCGTGTATCGGCGTTTTAAAATTTTGCATTGCAAAGTAACCTAAAAAGAGGAGGCAAGTGCCCCCCTCTTGCACACTTTTAAAAATTTTCGGATTTGCATTCCTCGAAATCTGTGCGTTTTAGGTATGTAGTGTCTTTGGCAATATTGCAGATTGAAATAGGAAAAATATTTTGGTCAAAAATGTTAAACCTCAAGCGAGACATGAAAGGGCCCTTTTTGGTTATTTTTCAAAATATGGTTAAAAACTCACTTTAAATGAGATCTTAGCAACTCATAATATTCTACAAAATTATTTGTCATAAAATTCTACCATAAGCCCCGAAATACATCAAATGTCTAAATCTTTTTTAATCGCCGGGAGTTCATAAATATTATAAAACACATTTTAGGGTTAAGGCCGTACTTTATGCGAGTTTATGCAAAATTATCCTATAAAGCATCATTTTAGAAGGAAAAAGTTTAACACAAATTTATTTTCGTCAAATTCCAAAAAAAAAAAAAAAAAAAAAAAAAAAAAAAAAAAAAAAAATATATATATATTTATATATATATATATATATATATATATATATATATATATATATATATATATATATATATATAGATATATATAGATATATATATATATAGATATATATATATATATATATATACAGTGGTGGCCATATCATATGCAACTAAGATTCATCTACGTTAAAAGGCTATATAAATTTGTAAATTTCACAACGAAGTATATAAAGATGGGTTAATTATAGTCAATACGTTCTTACGATTTCAAATTATTATCAAAATGTGCAGCTTTTGTTTATATCTCTATGTTCACAGGTGTTTTGTTGACAAATATGAAATTTGGTGTGGTCAAAACATATGCAACTTTATATATTTGGTTTAAATAACGGCATTTTTACAATTTCCTTTGTTCTATTGTTCTTCTTATTATTAGCTAGAGACACTGCGTAAAGAGATTTAAAGCTACCTTCACATTTTTATTGCGTTGTTTTTTCACAAAGCTACAATAGAGTTTGGTCAAAAATGGCACGCGATAAATTTGGATTTGAGCTCAGACAACGAATTGTGACTGCGTATTCTTCTGGATTATCACAGAAATGTATTGCCGAGAAATATACCGTTCATAAAAGCTCCATATCGCGCATCATTAATAATTACAAAAAAATTCACAAGTCTCTGTTATACACCGTGGTGGTCGAAGTCGAAAAACAAGCGATCGGACGGACAAATTAATAATCAGACACGTGAAAAAAGACCCATTTATATCTTCCTCTAAGATAGTGGAAAGATTTCAGTTGCCAGTTTCTGCTCGCACCATCCGTAGAAGACTTTTACAAGCCTCCCTCTGCGCAAGACGTCCTGCAAAATAACCACTGATATCGAAGCGAAACCAGAAAAAGCGTTTGGAATTTGCTAAAGCTCATATAAATTGGACAGAGAGTAAATGGAGAACTATATTATTTAGTGATGAGTCCAAATTTAACATCATTGGTAGCGATGGCATGTGCTATGTAAGGCGACCAGAAGGAAAACGACTCGAAGCACGTTACTGTAAAAAAACGGTCAAGCATGGAGGGGGCAATATAATGGTGTGGGGTTGTTTTTCTGGTGCTGGAGTTGGCCCCCTACATAGAATTGTTGGTATTATGGATAGATTTATGTATAAAGACATATTGCAAAGGGTAATGCTCCCATTCGCAGAATATAATATGCCATTGCGGTGGGTCTTTCAACAGGACAACGACCCCAAACACGCTTCGAAGGTGGTCAAATCGTGGTTTGCCGATAATAGAGTTACGGCAATGGAATGGCCACCCCAATCCCCAGATTTAAACCCGACAGAGAACCTGTGGGAAATCGTAAACAAAAAAATTGATCGAGAAAATTGTACAAGTTTAGATGTTTTATTTTGCCGGCTGGAAGATGCCTGGAAATCAATCCCAAAAAGCGTCATTGACAATCTTATAGCGTCAATGCCTCGAAGATGTCAGGCTGTAATCGACAACAACGGATTTGCAACAAAATATTAACTTTATTTGCACTTTACTGAGCTCGATTTAATTAGTTGCATATGTTTTGGCCACTTCATAATAAGACTGAATATCTTTTTCTAATTTTTTTTTATAAATGAATTGAATATCTATGGAGTATATGTTTTTTCTTAAACTACAAGCAATAAAAAATAATATTTAAAAAAATAATTGCATAATTTTGTTTTCAGAAAAATTTTTCACGGTTTTTGGTAAAGGTTAGATTTCAGTTGCATATGATATGGCCACCACTGTATATATATCTATATATATATATATATACACTGGTGGCCAAAACTAAAGCAACTTAAATCGCAAAGACAACAAATGTCCTGTAACTTTTACAAAAATAAACAAATCGTAATTATTTTTCCAGTTTTAAATGAGGGGGTTAATTCACTTTTAAGAAACTAAAAATAAAAATACAAAAATAATTTTGAACGAAAAATAATATGTGGAAAACTAAAATGACCCAATTTTTGCTTGGTCAAAACTAAAGCAACTTTTGATTTTTTATTTTAAAATAATTAAATTTTGGCTAGTAGTCGATAGCATAACCATTATTTTTGATAGCAGCTGCACACCTACGAGGCATTGAATCTATAACACGCTCAATTTGATCCTTGGGTGTGCTTTCCCAGGCACCCCGAATTCTTTAGAAAATGTTGTGCTTATTTATTTCCGAATCTCTCTTGATCTTCCTATCTACGATACTCCAAAGGATTTCTAAGGAGTTTAGGTCAGGTGATTGTGCCGGCCATAACAAAACATGCATTTTTGACTCCCGCAACCAATATTTGACAAGTTTTGATACAAGTTTGGGAATTAGGCTATTTCAAAAAAATAAAAAATTTCCGTTAAAATCTTAAAAATACCGAATGTTGCCGTTATATTAGGGTCTATACGACGACGTGGCCTTGTAGCGCCAATTTTTGTCATAAGCCATTATGGCGGCTATACCAAAACGTGGACCTGTACAGAAAATTTTCTGTCCTAGGCTGTAGTATCCATTACGAACTTCAAATACCGAATTTAAAACTATTCCTGTGAATAATGTCGCTAAAACGTCTATATGAGGGCTATACGAAGACATGGAACTGCACAGACAATTTTCTGTCATAGGCTGTAGTATTCATTACGAACTTCAAACACTAAATTTGAAATAGATTATGTCTCTAAATATTTATGTCTCTAAATTCATGAAAATACCCAATATCGGGAGGTACCGTTATATGGGGGCTATACGAAGACGTGGACCTACATGGCTCATTTTCTGTCTTGTAGTAACCATTACGAACTTCAAATACAAAAATTGAAACAATTCCTGTAAATAATGCCTCTAAAATCAACAAAATACCGAATATCGGTGGGAAGAAGTGAACCTACATGGCCCATTTTCTGTTTTATGCTGTAGTATCTATTACGAACTTCAAATACCAAATTTGAAACAATTCCGGTAACTAATGACGCTAAAATTATCAGAATACCGAATATCTGGAGGTACCGTTACATGGGGGCTATACGAAGACGTGGATCTACATGACCCTTCAGAAGCTAGAGTGATTTCCACAGACGACAGACGGACGGACATTGATAAATCGACATAGAATTTTATGCTGAATAGGAATATGTATACTTTGTGGGGTGAAAAATGTATATTTACAAACGGAATGACAAACTTAATACACCCTCCATACTAGGATGGATGGTATAAAAATCTTATTGCTAGTGAAAAAGAAAATCGAATTTTAAATGGAACGATACGAATTTCAATTGAAATGTTTCGAATTTCATTTGAATTTCTTCTCTTACAGGGACCTAATTCGAGTTCTACAAAAATGTGTGATGAATACTTGTTTCAAGGAAGAACTGCGAAGCGAGCCTTCAAAATAATTTTATTTCATTTAAAATTGTCTTTGTTTGCGCCAATGCGGGGAAATATGCAAAGCTCAACCAAACAAAATAGAATAAAAACACAATAGGGGGGTTTTAGTTTTAAGAATAATGGCAAAGGCCGTATTTATTAATAATAATAATAAATAATAATAATTGGTAAGACAGATTACCTGATTTGCACAATAGCGGGGGAGCGCGACTTCGTATCGAGCGATAGAAGAGACGAGTGTCAACCAACGATCAAAACATGAAGGAAGGTGGAGGCTTTGGCGCCATTCGCCACTCGTTGAAATCTGTTTACATTTATGTTGACAGATCTAAACGAGGTTAATCATTTACAAATTAATTATGCGTTAACCCATTGTTAACGTTACAAACAAATAATTACCAATCTAAATTAAACATGCCGCCCACCTTGCAACATATTGAGATGTTGTAACTAAAATACAATAATAAATAAATTTTTTTCAACTTTTTTTTTTTTCATTCAATTTCAATTTAATTCATTTTTTTTTCTTTATTTCTCTTTTTTTTTTTTTTTTCAAAAAACATTGTGTAACACTATGTGTTACATATGCCCGACAATACCCACCCAAATATGGTGTAGTGGGCTATCGGCAACCCTGGCGTCGCTTGCACCCGATGAGTTACGACCCTGGCATAAACTTCCGGCCCGAGTACCAAGGCCACCCGACCAGGCCTATTAAAATCGGGATCTGCCAAAGGAAGACCTAAAAATGAGTCACGAATGCGCTCGGGGATTACCGCTGTAGGCGTAAGCGCATGGTCCAAATTGGTTACCACAGCCACAATTGAAATGGACTGACTCCGGTCATAGATCGAACTAACGGTCAGCCGACATATTTGGCTACCTTCGATTCTAGAAGTAGGGAGTCGAAGATTATGCACCAAAGAGGAACATATCTGACTCTGCCTACTACACGGGTCCAAAACCGCCCTCACAATAGTGGGTCGATCGGACGACATAATTTTGACTATCAAAGTCGGGGATAGGCAGATACCTGTTTGGAGGGACAACAAGCCGACCAATCCTATCTGCGAGGGGGGAGACGGACGACTATACGGACTGTTACGTGACCGATACCTATCGGTCCGCGGACGACGCTGACGATTATTAGTGGGTTTAACCACGGTCTTCGAATCTTCATGAAGGAGGGTGTGGTGTTCTTCATTGCATACGGCACATTTTCTTTTGCTTCGGCAGTCCCTAGCTTGGTGGGATTTAGATAAACACCGTATGCAGTCATTGTATTTTAGGACAATGCGACGTCGCATGTCAACATTCATAACCCGGAAGTCACTACATCTATCCAGCGGGTGCATGCGATCACAAAGGCGACATTTATGTGAGGCCGCAGATGAAACCTTATGGGTTTCGGACCTTAAATTATTTTCCGACTCCTCCAAATGAGGTGTGGCAACCGGAGCCGCAGATGGACCCGAAGATCCGGACTCGGTTTGTAATGTATCATTTTTGGGGGGTGAATCAAGAACCGGAGCCGCAGATGAATCCGTTGCTATGGATTCGGACTCGGTTTGCATCGGTTCAGCGAGGGCCGCAGATGAATCCGCTTTATCGGATTCGGACCCACGTTCTGAGATTTTTACAGCCGCGATCGGCTCAACAAGGGCTGCTTCCACTGCAGCTGACGACATTCCAGCTTGGGGATCGGTGGGCCGAGGTTCATTATAATCAAAACCGTCATCAACATTCAAAAGTTCTTCTTCCGAATAGATTTTCACCGACATACTATATAATGAGAAGAGAACAATATTATTCGTTTGCGGGAGTGTGGTCGGTCAAAACGACCAACTTTGTAATGGGCCGTCTTACAACGCCGTTTTCCGTTCGAACGTCCGCGACTCTAACATGACCGTCGGTGCCCGGAAAAACATTTTCTATACGCCCTAATTTCCACGACGTTGGGGGAAGCTGATCATGACGAACAACGACTAGATCGCCAATCGCCATTTCTCTTTGGGGAAATTTCCACTTATATCTCATATGCAACTGCTTGAGATATTCATCTTTCCACCTTAAACTAAACTGGTGGGCAAGGGCCTGAACTTTCCTAAACCGATTAATTAGACTTAATGGTTGCTCTGTGATGAGAGGTTCAGGCGGGGCTAACAAGGGGGCACCAATCAAGAAGTGACCTGGCGTCAATGCAACGATTTCTCCTGGATTATCCGACATTGGACACAACGGCCGAGAATTAAGACAAGCTTCGATCCTAGCCAATACCGTGGCTAATTCTTCAAACGTAAATTTTAAATTTCGAGATTGCTTCCGAAAATGTAACTTGAAGCTCTTGACTCCAGCTTCCCATAACCCTCCCATGTGAGGGGCACCAGCAGGTATAAAATGCCATGATAGTCCCTGGTCTGATAAAGACGAGGAGGCGGAGTCAGCGCTTTTTTGGAGGAAATCTTTAAAATTTCTTTGAAGTTCACGCGATGCTCCAACAAAATTTGTTCCATTATCCGAAAAAATGGAATGGGGACAACCACGTCGAGCAATAAATCTATGTAACGCAGCCAAAAAATTAGCAGTCGACAAATCGGACACTGCTTCCAAATGAATTGCCTTTGTAGAGAAACATACAAAGACACATACATAGCCCTTTGTTATTTTACAAGACCGACCTAGATACGATTTTACATCAAACGGACCTGCGAAATCCACACCAGTGTTTGTAAAAGGTCGATTAAGAGTTGTTCTCTCAGGGGGAAGGGCAGCCATAAATTGACTGCAAGCACGTTTCTTCAACAGAAGGCACACTTTACAGCGACGAACAACCAGCCGAACCAAACTTTTCATACGCGGAATCCAATATTCCAACCTCAAAGTTCGCATCATTAACTGGATATCACCATGGACAGATTTTTGGTGGGTATATTCTACCAACCGTAGAGCAAAGGCACTCCTATAGGGGACAATTATAGGATTACGTTCCGAAGGTGCAAGTGTGGGCGAATTTACCAGTCTACCATTCATTCGCATGACACCATTGTCATCTAGGAAAGGATTGAGAGGAGCCAACAAACTCTTACTATCTAACGCCTTCTTGTCTAACAGATTCTTATAATCGCTGACGAAATATATTTTTTGAGCCGTAATTGCACAATAATTACGTGCGTCAATAATCTCTGCCGAGGAAATGCGTCTAGTGGGATAGTAGTAATGGTTTCTATACCGGGGATGTGTTTGACGAATAAATCGAAACGCGTATACAATGAAGTGAAGAGCTCTACGCAAACAAGAAAAGTCTTCCAAAATCTCTTTAAATGTCGACGGAAAGAAAGCAAAGTGACATTTAACGGGTCGCATTTCCATTTCAGTACTAATCGGAGCCAGATCACGAATAGACCATTCCGATTTAGTTTTACCTAGCCAACTAGGACCGTTCCACCATAGGGGGGAGGCTGACAATTCTATCGGAGACAATCCTCGACTTCCTAAATCAGCAGGATTATCTTCAGATTTAACATGGTACCAATTATAATTGCCAACATTTTCTTGGATTCGACACACCCTATTGGCTACAAAGGTCGTCCAAGTAGAGGGGGTTCTCTTCAACCAGGCAAGAACTATAGTCGAATCTGTCCAACAATAAATTTGATTAAATTCCAGATCTATTTCCCGCACAATAGTTTTCAATAGGTCTGATGCTAAAACTGCTCCACAAAGTTCCAAGCGAGGAAGCGAAATTGATTTCAAAGGGGCAACTTTCGTTTTGCACGACAGCAAATTAACGAAGATTTTTCCATCGGGGGACTCGACACGTATATATACTACCCCCGCGTATGCCTTTTCCGAGGCATCGGAAAAGACATGAAGTTCAACAGAAAATCCTGGCACATATTGAACCCATCTAGGTATCCGAATCGAGTTAACATGCGGATATGTTTCGACAAAACTTCTCCATTCAGCCTCAGTAGCTGCCAGAAGTTGATCATCCCAACCAATGTTGTCCAGCCAAATCTTCTGCATTATCATTTTCGCCCTAACAATCACAGGGGCCAACCAACCGACAGGGTCAAACAATTTCGCGATTGCCGAAAGAACTTCCCTTTTAGTGAAGTGTTTATTGACAATAGGACTCACTTCGAAGAAGAAACAATCTAAACGCGCATTCCACCTAATACCCAGAGGTTTAGAACTACTAGCTTCTACAAACGATAAAAGCTGAGCATCTACCAAATGCTCAGGGGGGAAGCAATCCAAAATAGCTCTATTATTCGCTGTCCATTTTCGCAGCTCGAACTTTGCCGACGATAGTGCCCTAATCAACTGGTCCCTAGCTGCCAATGCAGTCTCGATGTCATGAGCTCCTGCCAAAACGTCATCAACGTACATACATTTTCGCAATATATGCGCCGCGAGGGGAAACTCTGACTCAGTATCATCGGCCAGTTGAAGAAGCGTTCTAATCGCTAAATATGGTGCACAATTTACACCGAACGTCACTGTCTGTAGTTCGTAATCTAGGACCTGTTTTGTTGTTGAATTCCGATACAAAATTCTCTGAAGGGGCGAATGCTTTGAATCTACACGAACTTGCCTATACATTTGAGTAATGTCCGAGTTAAACACGAATTTGAAGATACGCCAACGGAGGATCAAAAGAACTAAATCTTGTTGTAAAGTTGGGCCTACGTGCAATATGTCGTTAAGACTCTGCCCATTCGACGTTTTATTCGAGGCATTGAACACTACTCTAAGTTTCGTGGTCTGTTTTGCTAGGTTTATGACGGGGTGATGTGGTAGATAACACGAAAGGACATCCATAGAAGTATTTGCGGGTACCGGCCTCATGTGGTCAAGTTCCAAATATTCCGATAATACCTGGTCGTAAACTAGTTTTAATTCAGGCTTTTTCAATAGAGAACTCTCATTCCGATAATATTGTTTGAGGACGTTCGCTCGAGACTCTCCCAAATACCCGATAGCGCTAATCTCAGATTTAAGTGGCAGCGTAACTATATACCTACCCTCTGAGTCCCTACGAGTAGTCCGGGCGTAATTATCCTCACAAAAACGGTCCGATGGAGATAATATTTTGCGTTTAGGAGGCTCTTCGATTTCCCAGAATCGCAAAAGGGTCTGTTGGATTTTGTCTTCCTCTGCTACATCGACAGTAGTGGCAAATGTTCGAACTTGTGTGGCTGGGATAGGACCCGTAACAAGCCAACCAAATACAGTATTTTGAGCAAGCAATGCTCCAGACAAAATGGGACGACAACCATCTAACAATATTTTTGGATAAAGATCAGCACCTAACAGCAGATCGACGGGACGAGATTCAAAAAGGTTAACATCTGCCAAGCGAAGATCGGGAATTTGTGACCTTAAGTCGGAATTAACCACAAACGAGGGAAGATTTCCAGAAATGGCACGCAAAACTAAAACGTTGGTTTCCAATTTCAGAGAAGGGTCGAAAGGACTGCTAATTTGTAAACGACAAGCTTTATTAGCCGTGGCCGAGAGTGAACAACTAACTCCTGAAATTACAGCATTCGTAGAACGCGCAGGGAGCTTCAAACGAGTTTGGAGTCTCTCTGAAATGAAAGAGGACTCGGAAGCAGGATCTATTAACGCCCTGGCAGGAAATGAAACACCTAGATGAACAATATTCACCATTGCGGTACCTAAGAGTACAGCCTTGTTCTGCGCGGCGTGAAATACTTGTCGGGGCAAGCAACCGGCGGATGTGCCGGGCGCGCAATTTTCTGAATTAGGGGGGACAGTCGAAGGCGTAACACTCGAATTTTGGGGGGCATTGCTAGTAACGGTGGAAGTTCGATTTGAATTACTAGAGGTAATATCATTCCGATGCAACAACGTATGGTGGGACTTGTTACACTTCGAACACCGACGTTTGCTATCACAATTCTTAACTTCATGATCGTTCCTAAGACAGTTGATACAAAGATGATGACGTTTCATTACTTTGTATCGATCAGCGGGTGTGAAACTCTTAAAGCGGGGACAGTCATACAATTTATGACGTTGATTTTGACAAATTAAACAATTTGAACCTTTCGAAGCGCGGGGAGAACGCGGTGGCTCTGGAATTCTGATATTTGAATGATGCGCTTGAACTTTACTATTATTTGACCGCTTAGACTGATCTGTTGCACGCATATCATGGAGGCACATGAGCGTACGTATGCGCTCAGTGAGGAAGGCATCCAAGTCCTTCCAGGACGAAAGAGAAGATTTATCCTTAACACTCTGCTCCCAAAGAGTCTGAGTAATTTTTGGCAATCTCTGGAGACACAAAAATACTAATATCGGATCCCAATTTTCCGTATTGACATCATACACGGACATCGAAGACAGGCATCCATTGATACCACGTTGGATCGACTTTAATCCGGAACTAGTCTCACTATAGAGGACCGGAATATCAAACAAAATTTTCAATTGGTTATGAACCAGAAGCCGAGGGTTATCATAAGTTTCAACTAGAGCCTTCCACGCGAGCTCGAAACTACGATTAATTAAAGGGAACTTCGATACAATCTCGCGAGCTTCACCAGAAGTCTTTCTAACCAGATGACAAAGTTTTTCAACGTCGGTAAGACGACCATTAACAATATATATAGCCGTAAACAAATCCCTAAATGTTGGCCATGAGTGGAAATCACCTTCAAATATGTCCGTATCGCACGGCGGTAGGGCAAGGTTATGGACACAATCCAAATGAGAAACTTCCTCTGTAGTCCTAAAACTGGCACTATTATTTCTCACAATAGAGGAAAGCGGAGTTGGTATCTGCGAACGATTTTCGCGGGAAGCATGAGTCGAAGTACTCAAATTGTTGTCCGTAGCTTGCGAGTTTTGTATGGGCGACTTAGCTGAAGTCTCGCCCGGCGTTTCTATCAACGAAGCAACCGAACCACAAAGACTACCATTAATAGAGGAAGTACGATATTTTTTGAATTGCCCTAGCTTTCTATTAATTGCGGACTGGCAATCGACATAGATTTGAAATGACGAATTGTATTTCTGATCAACCGCATCGATAACTTCTTTCGTCGTCTCTACTGACGACATCATATAGTCACAGCACTTTTCAAATTTGTCCTGTGCTTGCGTCCAAAGTTTTTCTAATGCACTAAGATGAGACTGTAGCGCATGAATATCGAGCTGGTCATCACGCATCGTATTGAAACGAGCATTAAACTGGATGACCGCATCCGAAGTTCTAGTGAACATATCAATTGGGGTGAATGACATTGTGAATAAATTTCCCGAAATCTGTACTACAAAAAGCAAGAAGGGAACGACTAAAGCACGATTTGCTCAGATAATTTATACAAAATCCACGAATTACTGATTCTTCTTCGCACAATATACGAAGAAAACACAAAAGTTTATACAAAAACTCCAAAAGTTTCAAAAAATCAACCGAGTTTTTCCAAAGTTCAAGAAAAATACCGAAAAGCTTCCGAAAATCTAACAAAACCGCACTATAGGGCCAAAGAAATCGAAATTTTCCGAGAAATAAATGCCTTGAACCTCTCACACAATAGTGAAATATCAAAAAACCGGTCTAAAATCACCAAAATTGTAATCTCCGATGAGATATTTAGCAACCAAATGCAAATATACAATGAAAATATGTGAAAATGTTCAAATAAATAATAAAAATATCAAATATATATTCAAAGAAATATCAATATATAATAAAAATTGTTAAATTGTGTAATTTTCCAAAAAAAAAAAAACGTATTTTCGCGCACAAACAATTCAAAATATTCAAATTTTTATTATTTTCTACCGAAAATATTGAGATTTTATTATTTTTATTTCCACAGTTAACCTACTATTTAGGCAATCAAACTACCAAATGTAGCGTATTCTCAAAAAATAAATTTTAAAAAATAAAAATTTTATTTAAAATCTCCAAAGTAATTAAAATTTTGAAATTCCAAACGAAAAAAAATCAATTTTAACACTTTTTATTTAAAAAAGTCGTATTGACCGATCGTAGGGTGTACGCGTTATTAATTTTTCCAAAAACGTCGTTCTCTAACACCCAATTATCGTTCAATAATAATCAAAAATAAAATTTGAAAGATTTTAATATTTTATGTTGGTTCCGTTTATCGAGGTTCACCTGTAAAATATGTTAAGTTGCGTTTATCGAGGGTCACCTGTAACACAACAGACAATACCAAACGTATGTATGTATGCGTGTGTGTGTAAAGCGGCTGACCGACTAAGCACAAATGATGACCGCTAACGCGCAACAACAACAAACAAACCAACGTAATTGAAGTAAGTGTATTTTTGGGGGTGATTTGTGAATAATTTTTTAAATCTTAAAAATGCAATTTTGCAAAAAATTTAACAATTTTAAAATTTCAATTATACCAATCGATGGGGAATTTTATGCACATTAAAATGATACCCCACAACAATATTTTATTTTCAACAAAGATACCAAAAAATACACTTTTTCTTCAATTATTTTGATTTTTCTTTATTTTCAATTTGCCGTCGGCAAAACAATATTTGCTAACTAGACGGAGGGGACGGGGTAAGCGACGCGTTGTAAGACGGCCACAAGGAATATCAACGACGCGATTGTTGTTGTTTTTACACAATTTGTTTTTTCTTTTCTCTTCAAGAAAATTATTTATTTAAATTCACCGGCACTTTTTTCACTGTACGTACCTGATTGTTTTTGATAGAAACACGATGATGATGTTAAGGAGATGATGTGGTGGACTGTATAGATGGTGATGATGATGATATGCTTTGCAATTAGAAAAAAAAGAAGAAAACGATTACTTCTTTTACCAACAGCTCGTTCGTAATCCGGTACGAATGGACCAATGTTTGCGCCAATGCGGGGAAATATGCAAAGCTCAACCAAACAAAATAGAATAAAAACACAATAGGGGGGTTTTAGTTTTAAGAATAATGGCAAAGGCCGTATTTATTAATAATAATAATAAATAATAATAATTGGTAAGACAGATTACCTGATTTGCACAATAGCGGGGGAGCGCGACTTCGTATCGAGCGATAGAAGAGACGAGTGTCAACCAACGATCAAAACATGAAGGAAGGTGGAGGCTTTGGCGCCATTCGCCACTCGTTGAAATCTGTTTACATTTATGTTGACAGATCTAAACGAGGTTAATCATTTACAAATTAATTATGCGTTAACCCATTGTTAACGTTACAAACAAATAATTACCAATCTAAATTAAACAGTCTTGAAAGAGAAATCCAGACTCGGTTTAACTATTTTAAACAACTTCGACTGACGATCAACTGAACTCTCAACAGAAATGCATTTGATGCAGGGGTCACAGGTACGAATACCAATCGATGTTATTTGTGCAGAAAGGTTGAAAAGAATGGACCAATACTATCCATTTTGTAAAATGTTGAAATGTGAGTGATGATCCGGATATACTTTAATAAGCGTTTTTCTCATTCAAAAATTTGACCCCTTTAAGAGGGAGGTACCAGAAGGCTAAGACCAATATATACGATATTCACAACAGCTCTTATGTTAGTAAAAATGTTGAGTTGTGTGAAATTCAATGATAATCGGAAGCATATTTCGTATTTTAACCTATTCAAAATTTTCACCCTTTGTGGGGGAGATACCAGAAGGATTGGGCCGGTATATTTCATCTTCACACCAGATGTTGTGTTGATAAAAATATTAGAATGTGTGGAATTTGAAGACAATCGCATTCTTATTTCTCATTTGATTAGAGCTATAATTATTCCAAATTTAGACCTTTTTGTGGGGGAGATACCAAAAGGACTGGGCCGATATATTCCATTTTCACACTAAATCTTGTGTTGCTACAAATATTAGGATGTGTACAATTTGAAGAGAATCGGATGCGTGTTCCGCATTGTATGAGCGTTTTTTTATTTGAAATTTTGACCCGTTGTGGGGAATGTGCCAGTAGGAGTGGGCCGATATCTACAATATTCACAGCAAGTCTTATGTTAGTAAAAATATTGAGTTGTATGGAAATTATTTAAAATTTTGACTCGTTCTGAGGGAGGTACTAGAAGGCGCGGTCGATGTCTATGATATTTACAACAGATCTTCGTTAGTACAAATATTGATTTGTGTGAAATTTAAAGATAATCGAATGCAAATATCGTATTTTATGTGAGATAGAATCATTTAAAATGTTGTTCCTTTGTGGGGGAGATACCATAAGGAGTGGTCCTACCCGTTCTTCATACCAGATCTTGTGTTGGTAGAAATATTGAAAATTGCACAAAATCGAATGATCTTTGAAAATGTTGACCTTTTGTGGGGGAGGTACCAGAAGGAATGAACCGATGTTGCCTATCTCCGAAACAAATCCGGTAAATAATGTCGCTAAAATCATCAAAATATCGAATATCAGGGGGAACCGTTATGTGGGGGCTATGCGAAGACGTGGACCTGCGCCGACAATTTTCTGTCATAGGCTGTAGAATTAATTACGAACTTAAAATACCAAATTTGAAACCGTGACGTGGACCTACATGGCCTATTTCTGTTGTATGCTGTAATATCCGTTACGAACTTCAAGTACCAAATTTGAATTAATTCCGATAAATAATGTCGCTAAAATCATCAAACTACCGCATATCGGGAGGTACCGTTATATGGGGCTATACGAAGATGTGGGCCTACATGGCCCATTTTCAATACCAAAAGTCCTGCAGACAAAATACACATTTGAGTAAATTTTTATCAACTTACGTCATTTCGTTCGGAAGCTGGAGTGATTTCCACAGACGGACTGTGGGGCCAAAAATGCATATGTCGAGGTATTACTAACGGAATGACAAACTTAATATACCCTCCATACTATGGTGGAGGGGATAAAAAAGTTAAACGGACCATTTAGGCTTTCGGGAAATAGGTACTATTTAACATAAACTAATTGTATTTATTGGGGTTGGGTAAAAAAGTGACCACTCACGACCTCTCTCCAACTGCTTTACTTTTATCAAATACCTACGACCAAAGCATGAACACGTCGCAGATACGAAAGATTTAACTTGACATTGTGTTTCACTTTTGTGATTCATAGACTACTTTTGTTTGGCTTCGCAATTAGGGGATGCGAACAACCATTTCCGCGGCGAGAGATGAGCCACGTAGAATCGTGTTGTCACATTTGTATATAAGCTAGAAATGTAAAAAAAATGCTTATGCGAATTATTAGCATTTAGTATTTTAGAAATAAACACCGAATGTTCAAACACTTCTTTATGTTTCAAACAAACTCATAAAAGCTTTTGTCAAACACGTTTTTAAATTCTCTTGCCACACATATGTATACATATTCCAATATTCGCTGCCTGCTCAGGATCATGATTAGAAGTTGAAAAAAGCTTTTTGAGAGAAAGCTTTTTTTTGTTGAATGTTATGATTTAATTTAAGAGGGTTGCCAAATAAAATTCTACCCTTCTTCGCAATTGTGGATTTATGGGATTTACTGGCAAAGCACAAATCCCTTTTAAATTGGAAAATGGATTGGAATGTTTAAGATTGTAGAGAAAAAAAAAACCTAGCACGTGTACTTCAATAGTAATATTATAAAATCTATATTTGTATTACTGTAGGAAAAAACAATGCATATGGTTCCAAAACAAAATAGGCATATCAAATTATATAAAGCATGCAAGGAGATATATTTAAAAAACTTAGATTTTGTATGCACATATCCATGGATCGGTTATAGATACATTCTTCAAGTTTAACGGAATTTGGTACCAAAAATTTGCTAAATATATTGAAATTGGTTAAGGTTTAGATATAGTTTTCATATGTACGATCAATTAGGCCTGAAAATAAGTATGCCAAATTTAATCGAAATCAATTCATATATAGCTATAGCTCTCATATATATTGAACATCCGATTTTTATACCCTACAACACTATGTGTTGGGGGTATTATAAGTTTGATTGGGCCAGAATTTATGTAACACCTCGAAATATTGGTTTCCCATATAGGAAAGTATATATGGATCTTCCTAGCTCGCCGAGCTGAGTCGATCTAGCTATGTATGTCCGTCCGTCTGTCCGTCTGTCCATGTTAATTTGTAATCACTCTACAGGTCACAATTATGGCCCGATCCTAACGAAATTTTGCACGAAGGTGGGGTTAGGGTCAAAATAGAAGCCTATTTCTTTTGGAGATGATCGCCAAATGTTTAGGGGTTGAAATGGACCAAACACTGCAAAAATGTCGGATTTTGCAGTAGCTATACAGGTCGCAATTATAGACCAATCGACGCGGAATTTCGTATGTAGCTAGAGTTTAGGTCGGGGAAGAAGCCTACCAATTTGGGTGGTCATCGGATAATATTTAGCGGGTAAAATATACCATATATTTTGTGTTGAAAAAATTCAAAATTTTTCATTATACCGCGAATATTTGAAATCTCGGCGAAATCACAAAGCCATGACAAGGTTACTTCTGATCTTTACATTGATGTTAACATCCAACAAAACGGATATATAGCAAAATATGTGCGATATATATGTCTATCAAAGAAGATATGCTTGAAAGATCTCTTATATGTCGAGAACGGCTGAACTGATTTCGACAGTTCTCATTAATTCAGAATGACCTCTTGGCAGGAAACATAAAACGTCGAAAAAAATCGCATAAAAATATCTCTCTAAAGATGAAAATATTGATTTTGTAAAATTTTCTCATATTTTTTCAATTTTGTCATATTTTTGGCATATTTTCATTTTGAATTAAACATTTGGTAATATTTCTACAGCTAACAAAACTAAGTAGTTAGGATATCATATACAGATCGCATTTATGGCCCGACCCTTACGAAATTTTGCATGGGGATAAAATGAGGGTCAGAATAGAAGCCTACTCTTTTTGGAGATGATCGCCATATATTTAGCGATTGAAATGGACCAAAACTACTGCAAAATTGTCAGCAGGTCGTAATTATCGCCCGATCCTCACGCACATTTGAATGGGGGTTACCGGACATTGCAAATGCAAAAGCAGTTTTGGATGACCATCCAAAAATATTCAATGTGTGAAATAGTTTGCCAACTTTTGTAGACAAAATACGAAAATGTTCATTCCAGTGACTTTTTGTAGAATTCACAAATACAGGAAAGACGCACTTCCGACTATTTCGTTAACGCTGATTTAGTTGAAGAATATAGTCAAATGGCTGTATCTCATATAGATGAGTTTCAGTCAAAAACCAATAATAAATGTTAATCTTTTGCCACTTCTGAGAGATTATAGGTCTTTGGGAAATATTGGTTCCAGATCTAGGAAGACCATTTACGTGCAACATCTTCCAATAAATTTGAAATGAGCAAATTAGATAAAGTTGCTATTATTCGAAAATTAGAGAACGAAACCTGATGGTTTTCTTTTATTATTTGTCACAATATCTTGTGGAACTTATTCGAGTATCTCGCCTATATAAACTGTATCGTTTATTATAGTGTTGTAGGGTATTCAACTGTCGGCCCTGCTCGACTGTAGCCTTTGCTTACTTATTTATTTTTGTCCTCCGCAGCCGTAATATGCACTCTGTAACAAGGATATTTGGGGAAATATATCAAATACATCTCAGAAATACTTTTGCCAAATTTTATCGAGAGCTGTTCACATCTGCATATAGCTCCCATATATATCTTTGTCCGCTTTTTATTGTGCACCAAACGTGTAATATTAGCCCAAATGGAGTGCAATTTGGCACAAACAACCAAATAGAGTCTAGAAACAAGTATGTCAAATTTGGTAAAAATCGGTTCAGATATAGTTTCCACATATATTGTTCAGCCGATTTGTTATATTTGTTCTCCACAGCCGTAATATGCACTCCGTAACCACGATTTGCGGGGAAATATATCAAAAACAGCTTAGAAATACCTTTGTCACATTTTATCGAGATCGGTTCAGATTTGGATATAGCTCCCATATATATGTTTAACCGATTTAAATTTAATTGTGTCCGGATTTAAAAAGGCAGAAATGCCGCGGAAACTTCAGCAGAAATCGATTCAGAGGAGGATATTCCTCTCATACATTAGTTCCTGTGGACTTTAAATTATAATTATAGTTGGTAGTATGATTTGATTGTTATGTGAAGTTCTACTAAATATGCAAAGTAGTGTAGGGTAACATAAAGTCGGCCTCGCCCGACTTTAAGACTTTCCTTACTGGTTTAGATAATGGCTTAGT